GCATACTGAGCATCTTTCTCTTTGACACCATGTCTGATATCCCACGTGATCTGTCAAATACTAATGCATGAAAATCCTAACCTCAAAAAAATCACCCATTATATTTGCCGACAGTAGAGCGGACAGTGGAATGAGTCATGGCACCAATATGTATAATGTAAAATTATTCAAAACTCTAACAAGCCTAAAGGCATAAATAGCTGTGTTATATCATTTGTAATAACAACTGATTATTTAAAACAAATAAATTTACCTTTTTACTTATTTTTTTCCATAAAAAATTTCTCTTTGAACAAAATATTAAAATTTCATTTAAGTGAAAGGTATTGGTATTGCCAGAGCGAAATTGTGTATTCACAACGCCATGTTGTGTCGCTCTCTATGTGTTCGGAGCGTCACTTTTTACAAAATCAAATTCCTTTGGACAAACGCAAATTATTTACAGTATGCGTTGTGTGAATAAGGAAATTATGTTGTTAAAAGTTGCAAAAATTTGTTTATTTTCAGAGATAAGGTAACTCATAGTTTTCTATGGATAAGCACTGCGGTCCAAGACCTCGAAAGAATATTAAACAAAACAAACAGAGAACGACGAAGCAAAAGTAAACAATTTAATAATACAAAATAAATAATTAACAACCCATTATACATGAAAACATTTTGATTTGGGTATAGTGTACAAATATAGGATACTGGGCACTATAAAGTAATCGATTATGTTACAATATATCAAGAATGTATTCAACAGTACGCTGAAGATAATATGCACCTAAGGTTGGTATTTCAACAAGGTCACGTCCCCGAACGCACAGCTAAGTGTAAAAAAAAGTTTTTTAGGGCCAACAACATCTTTGTAATGGTCACCTCAATTCCAGTTTTAAACCCATTGAAATTTCTTCTTCTTATTCAGATTTTAAGGAACACAATTCCAATTTTCTTTGTCAAAACCTCGTTGGTTCTATGAAGAAATGATGTGAATCAGTTTTAAAGAATATTGTATTTAAAATAAATTAATATTAACTCCATTGAATAAAAACTAGTTTTTTCCTTATATCCCCTTATTTTAAATTTTCAGTAAAACAAGATGTGTCGCATTATAACAAAAAATGCAAATAAAATATTAGACTTTTCAAGCTTGGGTACATTTAAAATATATATATCTTTTTCATTTTTTCCAAATAATTCTGCTTATTAAATAACTTTTGGTTTCTTCCCATTTCTGGATGCACATTAAAATCATTATTTGCATATTATTTTCCACAAAACCGTAATTATACATTTCATACATAAAATAATTTTAAAAATTTTTACTGAAAGTCAGATTGAAGGTCTTAATTATTGGCCAAAATCATTAGATATTTTTGTGGTAATTTCTACCTATAGCAGCTGTATATTCAGGTCAGAAATACAATGTGCTAACTAGTGAGTGGGCAAGGGAAAATTGAGACCTTATTCCTAAAAAGGCGAAAACTCAATAAATAAATTCTTATATCAAATAAATAAATAATTCTTATCCCGCAAATAAACCACAACTTATTAGTTACGATTATCGTGACTGTATGTACATATGTGTGTATGTACTATTTACATTAAAGTTTGCATTAAATTTATAATAATAAATTATTATTATTTATTTATTAATAATGAGTAATTAGAGGGCAAAATTAAAAAATAAAACCTATTTGAAGAAGAATATATATAGAGCTATCTATAGTTACGAAACAAGTAGTGTTGATAAACTGAATTACAGCAATTGAATTTGCTGCATTTCGAGATTCGAGGACAAAAACAAATTTTAATCAAAATCGCGATATTGTTTTTCAAACATTGTCTCCATTTAGATCTATACACTTTTGCATGCGTTTGAACGATATTTCGAAGCACCTTTGCCACTCTGATTGAGGTATTTCCAAAACATGCTTTTTGAAGGCTTTATCCGGCTCTTCAGGTGTCGAAGAACGTTGACCTCTTCGTTTATTCTTAACGAACGGAAATGTGTCAATGTGTTTTTACGTGAATACCTGTCTATGAAGACTAAACTCCACGGTGCTTTCTGTTGCTAGAAGCAAATAGATCAATACAATGCGTTGATCAGCGCCCCAAAGCATAAATGCATTTTGCWCTTAATTTTTGGTTCCAATTGGTTCGGGTGGATAGGGACACCCTAGTCACCTTGGTCGGGTTCGAGGCCCATCTAAAACCTCTGCCGTACTTTTGGTCCAGCACCCGGCCGCAATGCGACTCTTAACGAACGGAAATATTAAATTACATTACTTCCGGGCTCATACGCGTAAATCCACAATTCATCACCTCCCTCGATATCATAGACGTGTTTCGAAGTACCGCTACCGTATTTTGTTAACATTTCTCTGGACCAATCGACACGTACCTGTTTTTGAGCGATTGACAAATTGTGTGGGATACAACGCGAAATAATATTTTTTACGGTCAAATGTTCATGCACTATTGTATGTATGCTGGTCCCACTAATGACTGTGGTTGTCTATATCTCACTATAGGTCACATGATGATCTTTCAATATCATTTTCCTCCCATCATCCATTGTTTCCCGAATAATAACTGATTTTGAACGACCTTCCCGCAACTCGTCTTGTAGTAACCTCCTAGATTGAATTCACCATACCATTGATAGACACTGGACCTTGATGGAGCTCAATCGTTAAAAATTTAATTAATTTCGTCGATGCACTGTTTATTATTAATGATTTTTATGAATTATAAAACAAAGTTTTAAAGTTCAAGTTTGTATAAATTGTCTTAATCTCGCTTAAGCACCTTTGAGAACGGTTGAACGACTTTACCACACTAATTTCTGCTTGCAGTTCTTACACTCTCAACTTTGCGTTAGTTTCTATGATTAAAGACGTCATTGTTGTAGTCAAGATTTGCTATATTTCATTCATAAAGAATCAGTACAAAAACAGCCGAACTACTCAGTCATCGTACAAAGACATTGATTACATTTTTTTTCTAAACTGCGAACTATGGAAAATTAGTGACTTTATTTTGACTCTAAATTTATTATTGATAATCAGTATTATTGCATTGTTGAAACTTTGGAATTGTTATTAACCATATATACTAGAGGACCCGTCTACGTTTTACTGTGGCTGATACATAGTTAGTACTACTAATATCATCTATATGATTCGTCCTAAGGTACCTCCCCACAAATTTTCAGCCAAATCGGTTCAGCCATTCTTGAGTTGTAAGCGGTGTAACTAACACGACTTTCTTTGATATATATAATACATAATATACATAATGATACATAAATAATACTATTACTACCATCTACATATATGATTTCTATTAGTTGGATTATAATTATTAGTTAATGAGATATAGAATTTTTGTGAAGCAACTTGTGTAAGTTTACAAAAAAATGGAACATAAAACATTTCGTGTGTTAATAAAGCATTGCTTTTTGGAGGAAAATACTGTTGAGTTTGGGCTCAGGGAAATCCACCGTTATTTTGTTATTTGATAAGACTTAATAACCGTTAAACCACAACATGCTCTAAAGAGGCGAAAGCTTTGTTCAAAGTGGGTGCTGATTCCGAAAAGTTTCGAGTCCTCTTTAATTGCAATAAAACCGAACTTATGCGTCGGTGTATGACAGTAGAAACATACATACATATGTACCTGCATCATTTCCCACTGTAGACCAATCGCCAGTCATTCTAGTGGACTGTACATGATGAACCGGTTCTCAGGCGAGGAAAGTCGGCTGGAAAAGTTATGACATAAGTATTTTTGGATGCACGTGGTATAATACTTACTCAATGACTGATTACTGAGTCAGTTATAATGTATTTCACTGCGTATTTGGTTGCAGTTATTTTCTACTATTCCAAATACTTAGCAACTATGTATGCTATATTATTATTTTTGAGGAAGAATCTATTTTAAATTGTACTCTATATATTCAAATGATTCCTACAAACATGAATTTTGAACAATTGTATTCATGAGTTGTATTAAATTTTAATATAAAGAGATAAAAATCGGTTTAGCCGTTTTTGAGTTATAAATGGTGTAACTAACAACAACTTTTTTTTATATATATAGATTTAAATATCATTGTT